AATAAGAACAATGGATACGTTTTGCTGGCCTATGATTGGCAAATATATTAAGCTACCAGATTTCACAAAGAATAATGTATATAAGTTATGTTCCTTATATTCCTTATGTCCATTTTATGAGCCAGGACTTTATTTTTATGATCTCTACCTTTTTATAGACATCTTTACGCTTTTCTGATATTCCAGACTAAAAATGCACAAAGGCAAGATATGATGTAGTACGATGCAGGTTTGAGTACAGCCTGGGCTATGGAGCAAAACACTGTTCCCAGATACACACACACACACACACACACACACACACACACACACACACGGAAAAGAACAAAAAAGAAAAGAAAAGAAAAAATGGGAACAATTGTCTGATGCTATGGTTCAGACAGAACTAAAAGTAATGTCAACTTCGTAGCTCCACTTGGCCCCAATCAGAAGGGTGGCTTTTGTTTTCTTATTATTTAGCATGTGAGGAAGCCATCACATGCTTGAAAGTCATTTTAATGAATGTTTATAAGGTCATGAAGATCAATCACATTGGTACATTGGTAGATTTGTCTATCTGATGACCAAACTGGGACTCTACAGTCTTTTATGTTTGGAAAGTTACTCCTAAAATCAGCCAGGATACTCTCCTTTACTCCCTCCTCCCATGTCCTACCAGGAAAAGCAGGGTGTGGTAGGGATTGGGTTGAGTGAGGGAGGGGTTGCACCTGAAAGCAAATGTCCTTATTTCTTAACTGACTGTATAACCCAAAGCTAATCAAGTTGCCCTTTCTGTTTTCTGTAGGAAGAGAGGGTTGAAATCCTGTGATGTCACTGTTGTACTCACTGTCATAGGGAGAAGGCAGAATCATGTGCAATAGGTTGCATGAAGGAAGTAGAGGGAGGCTAGCTGGGACAAAGAACCTGCTCTCGTAGAGACCACAGAAATTAGAAAACAGTGAGTGCATGAGGCCAGAAGGTTTTCAGTAAGTGAATTGGATCTAAGTACATTATAGGAATACAGCTAGGAAATACTACAACAAAACCCTTTAGTGCAATTAATATATACTAATGAAAAAAGAGAGGTCTGGAAGCTTAGTAGGGAACTAAAAAGAGAAGCTGTTACAGAATAATCTACTGCCGTGTCACGGGGATCTCTTGAAAATACCTGGTCAGGGTCTAGGAGGAACCTTAGAGGTAGTAGCCATGGTATTAGGTGACTGTCAGTGGTACCGGTGTGGCAACACACAGACCCTGCCAGCCTCTGACAAGTAAAAATGAGTAGCAAACTGTGCAACTTCAAAAGAGGAGGCACTGAGGGAGCCATTATCTTAGGGGCAAAACTCACTGGATGATAGATTTCCACGCCTCACGGATGCCTGATAAAAGTAGATGCTCGCGGAGCAAGACTGAGTGCTTCCATGTGAACACAGACTCCTTCCCTTAGCCTAAAAGTCCGGTGGCTAGTGTTCTCACTGTTCAGCCAGGGTGCTTCAGGCTATCTGCCGAAAGCACTCACCATCGAGTCCAAAGCAAGGCACCATTCAGCCTCTATCAAACAGAGTTTCATTCAAAACCAGTGAAAAGGGAAAGCTCAGAAGAGCTTCCTGGCAACCCCTCTGCCAAAATGGCAAGCTTAAGTTAGACACCAATAAGGACACACATCTAGAAGCCAAGAGAGAAGAGCCTGCCTTTTCCTTAGCCTCCTAGATACTCTATGCACACAACAACATCAGCTTCGTAACTGCAAACTTGGCCTAGCTACAATGTCACCTGTTCTGGCAGATGAGATGCCCCTGGACACCGTAAGTGGGGGGGGGGTTTCCTGGGATCTGCTTTGCTACTGAGGACCCAGGTGAAGTTGAGTGAAGACTATTTACATGGGTGTAATTGATGAATGCCAGAAAAGTGGTGTGCACGCAGGCTCTCATTTACGAGGAGTGCAACCTCCTTTGCCAATGGCTGCCAGTGTTACCTTTAGCGCCCACAACTCACGCTCTTGCTTCCCCACTCAGTACCTCCTTAGTCTCTGCAGGTTCCTGGCAGGCCAACAATTGGGTGACAGCTTCAAGATCCCATGAAATCTGCCAGCAAATTTCAAATTCCCACCTGGTCAGGATTCCAAGCTGTGGTGCTCAAAACCCTATGTCCCCTTCCTTCACCCTACCTCACCCATGCTTTGCCTGCCTACCAGTGTATAGATAGCACTACCATTACAACTCTCTTGAAATTCAAGACATGATAGACATACATTGGACCCAACCATTGCCAGCTTGGCCTCCCTGTGAGAGTATCCAGATATAAAACCACAATCAATCCCAATAGATCAGTTTCATGCATTTCTATTTCTTTGTTTCTTTTTGTGTCAGTTGTGGGGCTTGAACTCTGGCCCTGGGCGCTGGCCCCCAGCTCTTATGCTCAAGGCTAGCGCTCTACCACTTGAACCACAGCTCCAATCCCACCTTTTTCTGCTTATGTGGTGCTGAGGAATCAAACACAAGGCCTCATGCATGCAAGGCAAGCACTCTACCACTGAGCCACCTTCCAGGCCCCTATTAATTTATTTGCCAGTCCTGGGGTTTGAATTCAGGGTGTGGGCCCTATCCCTGACCTTCTTTTTGCTCAATGCTAGTGCTCTACCACTTGATCCACAGCACCACTTCTGGCCTTTTCTGTTTATGTGGTACTGAGGAATGGAACCCAAGACCTCATGCATGCAAGGCAAGCACTCTACCACTGAGCCACCTTCCCAGCCCATGCATTTCTATTTCTAACCTTTTGGATTTCTTTGGCATGAAGTGGAAGGCACCAAATATCCATTTGAGCCTCATTGATTTGTTTGTGGGATACCACATAATTCACTGAGTGAATGGCCAGAGTCCCTGTGACCTAAATCATTGCTGTTCATTTATCCATTGATTTATTCAGTTGCTATTTAGTGAGTGCCTGCTGTACTCTGAACAGCACAGAACTCCATGGATGCTGCACCTCACTAGGCTCCTGGATGGGAAACTGGACACAGATAACTGGCTAGGGCTCATTTATACTCCAAGCATTCCTGTCTGACCTGGCATATTCTGGCCTTAGATGAATTCGATGGCCCAGCTGCCCCTAGAATTACACCTGTTTGATCATATATATGTCAGAAGTCCAGGAAGTATGCAAGTTCTTTCACTCAAAGTAATGATCACCTTCTGTGATAATTTGTTATTGAGATGGATGAAAGCAGCGGATTGGGAGTCTGCTGAGTATTTGTAAGGGACCTTACATGTGTCCTGGGCCTGCTTGCCCTGTAGCTGAGCAACTCCAGGCAAGGTCAGGCCCCCTCCCTGGCTCACAAGGTACCCTTGAGTAATAGGAAGGGATTGGCCTGCCAAAGCCCTTAGAAATTTGCCTTAGTAACTAATGGCAGGTCCCAGCTGGCGAGGCCCTATAGATGCTGCATGATCTACCTTATTTCATTGAGTCAACCTTGCTGTATCTACTTGGGGACCACAGTCCTGTGCCACACTGCATCCACTCATCCTCTGAGCCAGTGGTTTTCAACTTAACTGTCCATTTAGAAGCGGTCATGCACCTGTGGACAAAGTCCTGATGCCTAGGCCTTGCCCTAGGTGAAACCAGAACAATCTAATTGTAATGGAAGGGTCTGGGAAGGGAACCTGGAAGATTGTAAGTTATTTTCCTGTGCAGCAAAGCCTGAAGCACCTGGTATCTTCAGATCTGAGGACCTACTTTGATGTTGTGGCCATATGAGCTGTGACTCTTATCCTGTTGGCAAGTGATGGGCTATCAGAGAATCAGCACTGTATGTCCCGGAAATACTTCCAAAGCTAAAGGGATTCTGCTGAAAAGTAACAAGCTTTAAGAGGATAGTGACTGTTCACCTGTTGGCATTCAATTGATTTCCTAGTCCGTCTCATACCTTTGCTTGTTTTGAGCACTCCACCTCTTTCCCCACCCACACACTTGCAGTACACACATTCTCACTATCTCATCTACCTGCTGACAGACATCAGCCAGGGTCATTAACCTGACAGAACCATGGGTCAGACTATGAAGCTGGGAAAGAGTGGCTATACTGTCTTCTAGCCAGTTTCACTTTGATATTGACAGCTATGCTTTTATTCTTTGTAGGCAGCTCTCCCAAGGTGCTGATTCCCCAGTGGGTCCCTTTCCTGTTGTTTGATACCTCCCAGCCTAAGGATGCATCTGCACAGAGGAATTTCTTACCTAAATAACTTTACAATTGGGTTTTGTAAAAAATGACAAGTTCTTCTCATTAAAAGCAAACAATACAGAACTGTGGAGGATAAAAAGGATCTGGCCAGTTACCTCCAATAGATAACTATTCAAAATGGTTGGATACAGGTTCTTGCTAGATATTTTTGTACGTATATGAGCAATATATATGTGTGCATGTGTGGGTAAAAATAAATAGAACAATGAGTACTACTGCTGTTCAGAAAGATGTACTTTTCAAAAACATATGTATTAGATAGCTACCCAGATGATCATACCCATATCCTCTTCATTCCTGTAAGGTTTCTGGTGAATTGTATTTTAATCCATACTGCTTGATGCATTTAACCAAGACAAAGAAGTTTGGTGTCTAAGTTATGGTTTTCTTTTTTTTTCAAAATTGAGTTGTCCATAGACAGGATTACAATTATTCAGCTAGTTTAGTTTGTTCTCGAATGCCTGTGTGTGGAGAAGGCTTGCTTAGTGACTTCAGCCTAGTGAAGTCTCCTTTGAGCCGTGCATGACTCTCAGTTCTGTTTAGCATACAGAATATTGTCTCATTTGAAATATAAGAACACTGTTTAAATGAAACAACAAGGAAAGAGCATTCTAAAAACAGAATATATTTTATAGTTTTGACAAGTATAAGTCTTAAAGTGAAAAGCCTATTGTATCTTGCAAGTTTCCTGTTCATTAGCTTTAAGATGTGAAGCCTTCTTAATTATCTCTCCTCTCTTTGTCTCTCTTTTTCTCTCTCTGTCTCTCTATCTCTCCAACAGGGAACCATAAAGAGAAGGCAGGAAGGAGACAACTTCCAGTATCCGGGCATGGCTGATGGTGGTTACCCTAATAAAATTAAGAGGCCCTGCCTTGAAGATGTCACCCTTTCTCTGGGCTCCGGTGCCCATCCCAGTACCCTTTGTGCAGACCTGCAGGTTCCTACAATGACAATGAATCCTAGCTCTGTGGCCATGGGTGTATCTGGCCAATCACTACTGCTTGAGAATAATCCGATGGAGAATCATCCCATGAATGGCGGTGTGATGGGTTCACCATATGAAGTGTCATCAACTGTAGAAACAGGGCCAAAAGAGCCCACGGTTCCTTACTATGACAAAATGAACAGTATGCCTGCTGTGGACCAGGAACTTCAAGATCTCCTGGAAGAGCTAACGAAAATTCATGAACCTTCTTCAAGTGATCTTGATCTTGAGAAGATTCTGGGAAGCAAGCCAGAAGAGCCACTGGTGTTACACCATCCTCAGGCACCTGTAGGAGCTCCACCCAAGCTTCCGGTTCCGATGCCACACATAGAGAGCCTTGCTTCCAGCAAGGAGTTTGCTTCTAGTTGCAGCCAAGTCACTGGCCCATCGCTTCCAGTGCTGCCCTCCTCCACAGGCATAAACTATTCGATTCCTTGTACCAGTAAGCAGATGGTCTCACCCAGTCCTTCAACAGCACAGGTGCAGGCCAAGAACCAGGTCCAAGCTATGCTCCCTGTGACTTTGCCCCAATTACAGGTGTCTCAGTGGCATCATGCTCACCAGCTGAAAGCACTGGCAGCCAGTAAGCAGGGATCTGCTACCAAGCAGCAAGGACCCAACCGCAATTGGTCTGGCCTGCCTCCTCCAGGCCTTTCCCCACCTTACCTCCCAGTACCGTCACCACACCCACCACCACCACCGCCACCACCACCTCCACCTCCACCTCCGCCGTTCAGCCCTCAGAACTTCACAGCATCGTGCATGGCCTCCAACAGCATGGCCTCCAACAGCATGTCGGCCAGCACTCTGCAAGGTTCGCCCAATGCCTTACTCTCCAGTGTGGTACCCAGCAGCAGTGCTGCCCTTGGGCCCACCTTGCCCTACACTCCTGCCAAGCTCCCCAGCCTGGCTCTCAGTCAGCAGCCACAGTTCAACCCTCAGAGCTCCATTCTTGCCAACCTAGTGTCCTCTACCATCAAAAGCCCTCAAGGACACTTGATGTCTGCTCTGCCTACCAGCAACCCGGGGCCATCCCCACCATATCGTCCAGAGAAGCTCTCCAGCCCAGGCTTGCCACAGCAGTCCTTCACTCCACAGTACTCTCTCATCCGGAGCCTCACTCCCACCAGCAGCCTGCTAAACCAGCAGCAGCAGCATCAACACCAACAGCAGCAGCAACAGCAGCAGCAGCAACAACAACAGCACCACCACCGCCACCACCACCACCACCACCATCAAGCGAATGCCATGTTCAAGCCTATGACCAGCAATCAGCAACCCAAAACCCTGAGTATGATCATGCACCAGGGGCTGGTGAGCTCCAGCCCAGAAGCCGCCGAGCCATTTACCTTTGGCAACACCAAGCCCTTGTCCCATTTCACATCTGAGCCGATCCCCCAGAAGATGCCCTCCATGCCTGCTACCTCCAGGCAGCCTTCCCTGCTTCACTACCTGCCTCCAGGAAACCCAATACAGGCCTCTTCTGCCACTGCCTCCTCCACCACCACTGCCACCTTACAACCACAGCAGCCCGATCATCCTTCATTCCTCCTGCAGCACATGATGCAGCAGCAACCGCAGCGTTTCCAGCGCTCAGTAGCCCCAGATCCCATGCCTGCTCTGCCCAGACAGGTAAGGGAACCAACCTCCTAGATGCTGGTGCTCCTTTGTGTAGGAAATGACAACTTGATCTTGTGCATTTGATACCTGGCTTGGCAAAGCAAATCCAGGCTATCATCCTCTCAGAGACTAGCCTGGAATAGTCCATGTAAAGGCAGCTAATTCTGTGTGGTTTGAGCACTTGTGTCCGTGAGGCCAAGTGCTGGTTTTAGTGCCTGTCCCAGCCACCTAGCTCCCCTGGGAAAATTGCCCGGGAGGATGAGTCTAACTGTAGAGATGTATTTATTGTTTTTCCCTAGACAATATTTATTGTCTTGCTTGGATAAGGACGAACACTGAGCCTTCTAGAAACAGCACAGCAGCATTTTACTACATAAGTTCAGCATGCCATTTCTGACTGTGCTTGATACCAAAGCAGGAACTGAAAGGAAACAGAAAAAAGATGCACTCAGAAGGTCATTGCTCTTATTGTCTCCATTTTACAAAGGAAGAAACCGAGGCTCAGAGAGTTGCAATGACTTTCCCAGAGTCACACAGCCAGTAAGGGGCAGAGCAGGAAGGTAAAGCCAGTGAGTCTCAAGCCAGAGTTTGTTCTCTTCTTGGAATTACTTTTGACTTGTATGTCTCCCGCATCCTAGACAGTCTTTTCAGTCATTACATGATGCTGATTCTCCTTGGTGATGACTATCACAGTTCTCCCTTTTCATTGATCTGATCCTTGCCAGTATCAATTAACTACTGCTGTGTAACAAATTGGCCCCAAACACGGCTCACAGTTTCCATAGGTCAGGAATACTGGCATCGCTTAGCTGGGTTTTTTTACCTCAGTTTCTCAGAAGGGTGCAATCAGCCCTAGGCTCCACAGAAAGAGAGAGAGAGGAGAAAGAGAGAGAGAGAGACAGAGACAGAGATGCTTCCAAGCTTCCTCATGTGGTGGTCATCAGTTCCTTCCAGATACTTCTTTAGTCAGAGACCACCTTCGGTCCTTTGCCATGGAGTGTCTTCATAGAACATGTCGCACAATATGGCAGTTATCTTCATCCAAGGGAGAAGAGTAAGGAAGAGTCCCTGTAGGGCAGAAGTCAATCTTTAAAAGCAAGTCTGTATTATCATTAGATATCAGAGAGAAGGAATTGTGTGAAGATGTGACTATCAAGTGGCAGGGTTCAATAGGACCATGCAGAATACTGTCATTCATGATCTTCCATTCTGTTCATTTTATCCCTGCTCAAGTTTGGACCCTCTAAATTCTTTGTGTCAGCTCACACACTTCCCAACTCCCAGTAAACCATCCATTGTTCTAAGAGTTGTCTTGCTGAAAAACAAAGTGGCCTAATGGCCTTTTCCACTAGCTCCAAATCTCCAGAAGGCCATAGCATGGTCACACCAGCTTCTTTAGAGTGGGTACCTGTTGGCCTCTTCCTTGTATTTTGATTCTGTAACCCAGAAGTGCTTGCAATTCTTGGCCCACTCTGCACAGTTTTAGCCTTTACTCCCATTATTCTCGGGGCGTGGCTTCTCCCTTCTCCTGTTTTCTCCTCTCCAACTCCTCGTTGCTCTCAATGCTCCCTTCTGCCCTGTGTCACCGCACTCTTCAAGGGACATGCCTGTAAAGTGCCTGGTAAGGAACCTGACCCTAGAGACTAACCTTTCAGAGTCTGGTCTCTTATATTGAGAGGACCCACATCAATCTTAGGGATTTGTGAATGTTTTAGCTTGTAGAAGCTTGATTAAGCACAGTGCTTGACAGCAGGTTCCCAAAAGAATGGCCAGGGTGAGTAGCCCAAAGACAGAAACAGAGCAGGCAAGACAGCCACCTTGGGGCCGTGACACTTCTCTGCAGTTGATGAGCACTATGGTTTGATTTCATTAGAGGGCAGCTGTTGGCATGGATTTCTACAGCTCTCAGTGCTAGCATCAACAGGGAAACTAGCAGTAGCAAGCATGCTCCTTATTCTGGAGATGTGGCATCATAGCATAAGAAAAGCCTTTCTGTTTTTGTGTGTAAATCAGTGCATTTGTAGCCTGAACATGGTGCTCCAGCGGCCTATCACCTGGCTCCGAAGGAGAATTCTTACTGGTTGTGGTCATGTCAAATGCACCCAACTAGACAGCTGGGCAGGCTAGGATAAGGTACTCAGGAGAAAGATCAAGCATGCTCTTCAAGGCTGGCAGCAAGAAAAGAGCTCAGGAGACCTCTGGCAGCAGAAGAGAGAGACTGGGGTGCCTATAAGGAATATAACACGCCACCAGGAACAACCCTCCCAACCAGTTCAGGCTGGTGCCCGTGGGATTCCCCTAATTCCATTTCCTTCAGTGTTGAGAAGAAAGGCCCAGAGTGGCTCTCAGTCACACAGTAAGTCACACAGCAAACTACAGATCCTCCTGGTCATGAGGCATTTCCTCTGGAATGTTCCCTTCCTATCTTCGCCTCTTACCTGTTTCCTCCTCTACAGGATAGTCATGATAAAAACATCATTTGAGGACTGGATGTGTTAAGATATCTAAAGCATTTGTTCCAAGGCTTGGGAAAAAGGGTTTGCTATCACTGACTCCTGACCCTAAGCCCTCGGACCTGTTTTGTGGGACTAAGACATGGTTCTCAAAGCCAGGAGCAGCATGAGGACAGCATGTGAGCAGCAATCCCTGTAGACCCAGTTGCCTGCCATGGCGTTGACAAGAGCTATATGGCTTGTGAACTTTGTGTGTTCTTTTGGTCCTAGGGCCTGATGCTCTTGAGCAACTCCAGCCCTGGTGGAAGAGGGAGAGAGGTTATGCTTACCTTGTATCCCCTCTCCTTTGTTCCTGAGTTCTCTCATGCTCACACTCCATCCAGCACCTAATGACATGGTATTCATTAGCTTGTGCTGCTTCTCCTGAAAGATAATGGTTACTATGGAAAGCCTGGAGATTCCTATGAATGTGCATCTTACTTTTATAAAGGTATCATTTTTAAATGTAAGATGAAAAGAGTAAGCCTAAATGTCTACTCCAGCTGGCTGTAGGAGCTTACTCTTATTGGCAGGCTAGTTGTCATCTTGGGGGCTTTTACAGGTGAATGAATTAACAGGTGAATGAATGATCTCATGTCAATGGACTGGCTGTTTCCACTTTAGGCAAGTATTGAATGGTGGGAAACCAGCCACAGGTTAACCAACAACACTGGATACGTATAGAGCTGAGGTTCCAGTCTGTTTTCTGACGTTGACTGGGCCAATGCCATAAGCAAACTTCTTAAGCCCTGAGTCTCTTCTGCGAACAGGGAAAGGAAAAGTTTCCACTATACACAGCATTGGGAAGACAGAGAAGATGACATTGAGCAGAATAGTGCATGGCATACATGTGCCCAAGACCGTGAAAACCCTGGGACCAGATGAGGTTCCAATGTAGAACACTTTGGACTTGAAGTATAATAAGGTGTAAACACGAAATATCACACAAACCTGAAGGGTAATGTAAATGTTTAACAAATTTTGCCCCCCTCCCATAAAATCTGGCCCCAAATTTATAAAAATAGTTTCCAGAATTTCTAGGATTTCAAATTACAGGAAGGGATGTGGAAATGCAATTATTAAGGGAGGGATATTTATCTCTCTCCTAACAGCCAGTCCTAGTTTAAATTTTTGCATATGTTAATTGTATAAAGCAGATTTTATTATGACATTTTTGTATACATATATATTGTACTCTTATCATACACATGGATTAATTGTCCTTACTATCCCTCCCCTTCCCCAGGTCCCTGTTGGTCCTCCTTCTACTCCTTCTACTTTAATATTTTTTCTGGATTCCACAAATAAGAATATATATATATATATATATATATATATATATATATATATATATATATATTGTCTTGTTGAGTCTGGCTTATTTTATCTGACGTGATTATCTCGAGTCTATCCATTTTCCTGCCCATGACATGATTTCTTCCTTCTAATGGCCAAGTAATTCTGTGTTGTATATCTACACAACATTCTCTTTATCCATTCATCTCTTGATGGGCTGATTTCATAATTCTTTCCTTTTGTGGATAGTGCTACAAACAATATGACTGTAAAAGTGTCTCTGTTTTATGCCGACTGGGTATGTACCCAAGAGTGGTTAGCAGGATCATTAGATAGTTTTATTTTTAGTCTTTTGAGGGATCACCATACTGATTTCCATAGTGGCAACACTAATTTCCATTCCTACAGACAGGGCATACGGCTTCCCTTTCCCCTGTATCACTGCCCGAATTTGCATTTGTTATTGTTGTTTCTTTTCTTGATGATACCCTGAATGTGGTGAGACGGAATCTCAAAGACCTTTTAACTCATATTTCTCTGGTGGCTAAAGAGGTTGAACATTTAACGTATTTATTGGCCACTTGTACTTCTTTCCTTGAAAAGTATTCTGTTCCTTTGCCCATTTATTGATTGGCTTATTGTCTCTTTTGCTATTTAATTTTTGAGTTCCTTCTGAGTGATGATATTCTTGGCATTAATACTGTTGGATGGATAGCTAACAAAGATGTTTTTCACATTCTACAGGTTATCTCTTACCCTGTTAATTGTTAAATTTTAATGACCTCATCACCTCAGTCTATTTCCCAGTTTTCCTCCAGAGTAGGTTATATATCTCAGTTTTAATCAAAGGGAGGTAAAAATGAATTCTATTCCTATGATTTGTTTCCCCTTCCGGCTGAAGAATATAGTATAAGAAATACCTTCAGTGTGTTACAAAAAACAGGTTAGAACTTAGTTCAATTTTACCATTGGCCACTAGAGAATGGAGCTCAGATTGCCTCAGAAAGGAACACAAATCCATCAAGGAGATTGGAGTGAAGCTATGTAGAGAGGAAGTAGCGAGAGGAAGGCTCTGGACACAGTGCCCTCAGCTCTTGTGTGTTGCAGGCCCTCTCAGATCCACAAGGCTGCGAGAGTGGCTTCATGGGGAGGAGGGATGTGGATTGCAGCCAGTTGGAATAAGAACAAAAAATCCTGGAATCTGATCCTTGAGGCTGGCCATGA